ACACCCACACACCCCCACACCACACCTACACACCCCACACCCCCACACACCCCATGCACCCACACATCCACACACCCACATATCTACACACCACACACCCACACACCCCACGCACCCACACACTCACACATCCACACACCCCACATACCCCACACACACCCCACACCACACCCACACATCCACACACCCACACCCCTGCACACCCACACATCCACATACCCCACACACCCCACATGCACCCCCACACCACACCCACACACCCACAGCCACACATACACACACCCACACACCCACACATCTACATACCCCACGCACCCCACACGTACCCCCACATCACACCCACACATCCACACACCCACACCATACCCACACATCCACACCCCCATGCACCCCACACGCACCCTCACCCACTCACCTACACACATCCACACCCCCACACCCATACACCCGCACACACCTACACACACACCCATACACACCTACACACACCCACACCCACACACACCCATACACCCCCACACACCACACCCCCCCACACTCATCCACTCACCCACACACTCACACACATCCACACTCCCACACACCCATACACCTGCACACCACACCCACACACATCTACACACTCAACTACACACACCCACACCCCCACACCCATACACCCCCCCCCACAGCACACCTCCACACCCACATACACCCACACACACCCCCCACACACACACACTCCACACCTGAAACAGCGACAACACATGTAATCCAGGCGGTGACCCTGCTCGGGAGACCGATGCAGAGGGCTTGTCGAGGCGGGCTAACCAGGTGCAGAGGCAGAAGCGCACAATGAAAACCGGCCTCTCACTTCTCAAAACTGATTTTGTTATTTCCATTTCGCTGATGACAAAGGGGAGGCCACATCAGTTACAACAAAAGCCCACTCTGGGCTCAGACCCTGTCTGTGTGCCCCCGGGGCTCCTGTCCTGCCTTTCCCCAGCTCCAGTTGAGGCACTGCAGTCGGCACCAGAGGTCACTTCTGCTGCTTTGTCCTTGGACCGCCAGATCCACGCCACCAGAGTACCCGTGCAGACTTGGCGAACTCATCAGGCACACCTGAGATGAAAGCTGTTAGGTTTTACCTTGACTCACTGAAACAGATACATCTCACAAACACTGAAAAATCCTATAGGTTCAGGATTCTAAAGTCAGAGCATTGAGGTAAATTTTGAAAATAGTCAATATTATTATTATTAGTATTAGAGACGGAGTTTCATTCTTGTTGCCCAGGCTGGAATGCAATGGCACGATCTCAGCTCACTGCAACTTCTGCCTCCCGGGTTCAAGTGATTCTCCTGCCTCAGCCTCCCAAGTAGGTGGGATTACAGGCGCCCAGCTAATTTTTGTTATTTTTAGCAGAGACGGATTTTCACCATGTTGGTCAGGCTGGCCTCAAACTCCTGATCTCGTGTGATCCACCCACCTCGGCCTCCCAAAAGTGCTGGAATTACAGGCATGAGCCACTGTGCCTGGCCTCAAAATTACTTTTAAACAGCCCTTGACTTGCCTACCAGGTTCACTACACAGAATATTCTTATGCACACTATAAAGTCTAAGGGAAGAAATGAAAGTTTGTCTAACTGCACTTGGATCTGCAAACATTCTGCTTCGAAGGTGCCTGTGCAAACCAGTGGTGACTGGGATGAGGTGAAGCCCACCGTGTCCTCTTTTGCATGCAGTGATTCTATTCTTAATATTAAGCCTTGCCACGGAAATATCCATGCTGAGAGGTGCATTTACTGCTGGAATTAACCAAACTCATCTATAACGGGCATTAGAAAATGTTTCCTGGAGTTGAAGCTACGTCTTGCTTATTCTAGGGCACATGCATGCCGCTCCTTGAAAAGCTGCAAAGAATTGGCTAGCTGTTCTAGTTTTTCTAGGTGGACATTGTCCCCCACTCCCCGCCCCCAGCACAATGGTGTGAGAGGAAGGAATTAAATTTAAAACAAGAGCCCAGGGGGAATGAAACGAGCAAATCACGTGACTTCACTTTAGTTGCTTTTCACCCGATGGCTACAAGAAGGTGATACAGTCATCCTTACTCACTCTAGAACCAAGGGCTTCCAGCTGGTGGTCCTTGTCTTTGTTCTGACTTTTTAGTTGATTGACTTTTTCCTTTAGTTCTTGAACTTGCTCATCCTTTGCTAACATGTCTTTTTGCAAAGATGACACCATCCCTGTAAAAAAGAAGACTCACAGAGGTCAAAGAGGCAGTGAGGATGACTGTCATCACTGCCGCTGTCAACCAGTTTGTGACGAGCCTGGCACTGAGAAGGGAGGTGTCTCCAAGGATCCCAGGAGCTTGAATGGGGTTGAGACCAATACTCACTGCACATCATTTGTTCAAGGTCTCTGTGAGAAGGAGAGGAAACATCTGTCGGGGTGCTGTGGGCATCGGCCCTGCGTGGGAACAAAGGCTCAGCAGAGAGAGGGACCAGGAGGGGCCATGAGATGGGCCTGTGGCAGCAAGGGACGTGTTGATCCACACTCACACACTCATCTGAGTTTGGAAACCGTCTCTGGCACTTACTAGCTCAGTTGTCTTTTTTCTTGAGACAGGGTCTCACTCTGTCACCTAGGCTGGAGCGCAGTGGCACGATCACGGTTCACTGCAGCCTCCACCTCCTGGACTCAGGCGATCCTCCTGCCTTGGCCTCCCAAGTAGCTGGGACTACAGGTACGTGCCACTTTGCCTGGCTAATTTTTGTATTTTTTGTAAACATGGAGTTTGGCCTATGTTGCCCAGGCTGGTCTCAAACTCCCAGGCTGAAGCAATCTGCCAGCCTTAGTCTCCCAAAGTGCTAGGATCACAGATGTGAGCCACAATGCCCAGCCTAGCTTAGTGGTTTGAACAAGTTATTTAACCTCTCATTGTATCTACAGAGTTGTTGTATAAAGAACATAGAAGAGTGGCTAACACATGGTGTTTATTCCCTGCCATCCATGACTCTATGTGGTAGCCAGCTTGCAAAAGGGCCCCCGTGATTCCTGCCTGTTAGAATACCTGGCCTAATGTGGCCCCCTCCCACCCGAACAAGGCTGACGTGTGTAACTCATATGGCACTGTGGAAGTGGTAAATGTGACTTCCCAGGGCGAATCATCAAAGATGTTGTGGTTTCTTCTTTGCTCTCCTTTGGGTCACTCAGTCTGGGGAAAGCCAACCGCCATGTTGGGAGGACACTCAAGCAGCCCGAGGGAAGGGCACACATGGTGAGGAACTGAGGCCTCCAGCCAACAGCCTCAGTTGAGTCATTCCAGAAGGGGATCCTTAAGCCCTAGTCAGGCTTTCCATGACATGGCAGCAGTCGCTCCTGCAACCTTGTGAGAGACCCTGAGCCAGCCTAAGTCACTCCCAAGTTCCTGAACCACAGAAACTGGGTAAGATAAACATATCTGTTGCTTTTTATGGGATAACTTGTTATGTGACAGCAGAGAGCCAATATATTATTGTATTATCACATGGAGAAAAAGTGAGAAGGGTGCATAATGCAGTGGTATTGGATTATCTCATATGGTCCTTTTCTTAGAAAAACATTCATCCTAGTTTTGTTGGGGTTATCAATCAAGAATCAATCTTTCTTGCACAATCAAGGATGTGTAATAAAGAACAACATGATTGAGAATTTCATTGTAAAAATGAGCTTTGTCCGGGGACACAGTTAAGTTCCTTGGAAACAGACTGTTCTCTCTGGGGCTTGCCTGCATGCTTTGTGAGGCGGGACCAGAGTGACCTTTTCTCTAGAGTGAATTTGGCTCAATTCTCCACCAGATGCCCTCTGCAGTGCAAGGTTGCCCCATTCTGGATGGTGGGAAAGTGAGCTACGCTCAGGCCTGCGTGTGCTTTGAGATGGTTCCCTCTGCTCCTCCCGGGTGGTTCCTTCCCTGCCCGCATGCACGTGCTGATCACGCCTGACTCTGCTGAAGACTTGAGGGGGACCCTCTGAGATCTCCGGGGTGCTCTCCGTGCAGCCCCCTCCCGCCTGGCACGCCGCCCAGCAAACTCAAGCTATGCTGGCTTCTCCACCTCCATCTACTCAAGTCAGGCTGACCGCTGGGCTCTGTCTGGCTTCCCCTCCTGCTGGAAGGGGTCTGGAAACTCTCTCCAGTGCAAGCCAGCCGGGGGCAATCGTAGGTTTCATCTTGTTTGTTTCCACTCTCTCCCAGATCACTGTCACGGGCTTCTTGGGGCCAATATATGGAAACCATCATTTCAGACATTTTTTCTGTTTGTTTGTTTGAGTTGTTTCAGGCAGGTGAGGAAATCCGGACCTTGTTCCTCCATCTGCCTCTCTTGCCATGGAAGATGGGGTTTGTGATGTGTTGTCATGGTTTCTGTGAGCCTGGGTCACTGAGTGGCCACAATGACCAAAGCCCCTACTGACCCATGATGGGCCCAGGGAGGAAGCAGGAGATGAACCTGTCTATTGTGAGCACTGAGACTTGGGGGAGTTTGTCACTGCAGCGTAACTCGGCCCAGTGCTTCTCGAGCTTGAGTGTGCACACGCAGCAGCCAGGGGGCTTGTGAAAGTGAAGACTCTGATCGGAAGGTCAGGAGCGGGGCCTGAAATTCCCAGTTTCTCACAGGGATCCAGGTGATGCTGATGCTGCTGGTCCAGGGACCACACTTAGAGTTGTGAGAGTGTAGCCCATCCCAGGTCATACCTGAGCCCAGGTCTATCTGACTCCTTGATTAGAGAAGTGGTGTCTGAGACAAGCTTGCAGCGTGGATGGGGTGTGATGGGCAGACCCCGGGGAGGAGGGCAGGGCCCAGCGAGATCCCCCTTGTATGCCTGGTACCCAGAGCAGCCCTGCCCATAGCGCTCACAAGTAGCCAAGAACATTCCAGTTAGAGAAGAGCAGAGGTAGAAGCTGGAGTGGGGAGGGGGACTGCAGAATGAGGCAGAGGGAAAGGCCCGGCCAGGCGGCCTGGGTCGTGCAGAGACAGTGATGGTGCTGGCTCAATGCCAGGCTCAGCTTTCACAGCCACGGGCATGTTTCCTGCTGTGCAGGGGGGACTTTAGGAGCAATATCCCCAACCCGGACTCATTCTCTCCCCACCACCTGCTTTTCTCTCTTCCCTCTTTCTCTGTCCAAGGCCCTATCATCTGCAGGTCTCTAGACATGTCATTCTCTGCCTTAAAAACCCTAATGTGTCCCATCACACTTAGAAGAAAAGCTGAACCCCTCCCCTGTAATGTGGCCCTGCCTCCCCCCTGACCCCAGAGGGTCCCACAGCCCCTTGTTCCCTGACCCCAGCCACACTTGCTGGCCGCTGCTCCCACACTGCGGCTTGGTCCTGCCCCAGGGCCTTTACACCCATGATCTCTGCCCGGCATACGGTTCCCAGGGGCCTCCCGACAGCCCCTCCCACCTCCTCAGAGATATCCCTGCCCAGGCACTAAGCCAGGGGTGTCCAATCTTTTGGCTTCCCTGAGCCACACTGGAAGAAGAATGGTCTTGGGCCACGCATAAAATGCACTCATGCTAACAATAGCTGACGAGCTAAAAAAAAAAAAAAAAAAAAAAATCGCCAACAAATAAAATCTCATAATGTTTTAGGAAAGTTGATGAATTTGTGTTGGGCCTCATTCAAAGCTGTCCGGGCCATATGTGGCCCGCAGGCTGTGGGCTGGACAAGCTTGCACTGAGCTATTCTCTTTCACTTCATCCCATGAAGCGCTTCCCCACCACGGTGTCCAGCTTTATTTCTTCTGGAGGACGGATCTCTCTCTGGCATGGGCTTGTTCATTTATCTGTTTACTTCTTACTGTCTCTCATCCTCTCCCACGTGTGAGCCCTGTGAGCAGAGGGATCTTGACCGTTTGCTCAGGGCTCTCTCTCCCCAGTGCCTAGAACAGTGCCTGGCATCTAGCAGGTGCTCCATAAATGTGTTGAATGAATGAATGAATGAATCCAGGCTAAGAAACAACTGTGCCTGGCAAGGGGAGGCCATGAGTTGGCTGCCCCATTCCCACCCAAGTTCTGGAGTATCAGCTACCTCTCAATTAGCAAAATGCTTTCGCTCTGGCCCGAGAGCACCAGTGTGAGATTGGGTAAGAGGCTGGGTGCCTTAAACAGGCAACCCCATTTTAGCCACATTCTAGTTCGCATTCACAGCAAACTGGCTCATGGGACTGCCTGAGCCACAGCTTGTCCTGTGTGCTCCCTGGTGAGGTCCATGTTCAGCAGGCCCTTTAGCTAAGAGATGGCACATAAACCTCTGAGGATGAACTCAGATTCATGGACAGGAGCTGCCTAAAGGGATGCTGGGAAGAACTTTGAGGCTGCAGCCAAGTTCAGTAACAAAAAGTATATGGTTGGTTGGTGATGTCTGCTGTGGCCAAGAACATGGGGTGCGGGAGTGGCAGCTCCCAGGCCCAACTCCAAAAAGGGCTCACCTGATGCGATAGCGTTGTCCCTCTTTAAGTTCTCGCCCTCGTTCTTCAGGGATGTGATTTCTGAGTTCCGCTCCGACAGGGTCTGGCACAGCACCTGGCTGTACCCCTTCTGCAGGGCACTGATCTGTGGGAGGAGGCAGCACAATCAGAGGGGGGCTGGCCCACGCCTGGGAGACACACAGGTACTTCTTACAAGCTTGACAGAAAGATTCAGATTGATTTTTGGCTGGGCTGTTGGGGAAACTAAGCTTTTTAGTTTTAACTAGTGGGAGGGACAGGGGAGGGCCTGTTCCTTCAAGGACCACCACTTCCTATGTCACCAAAATATGAACCTTATCTTTGTGCCCATAAAGGGGCCCAGGCCCGGCTGCCACTGGGGGTACCTGGTTCCTTAATGTGCCTTCCAATGACCTTTGGACTCTCAGCCACAAACAGACCACCTGTTAGTTCCAGGTCACCCAGTACTGACTGGATACAGAGCAAAGTTCAAGAGAGGGAAGCACGTTATAAAATTAATTCCCTCAAATGATAACAACAGGTTTTATCTCATCGAACACTCTAGAGCTTACAAAGCCCACTCACAGACACTACTCCTTCAACACAGCCTCATATGAGGTCTATCTGCAGGAGGCTCCGGGGAATGCTCCTGTATTAGTCTGTTTTCACGCTGTGATAAAGATATACCCCAGTCTGGGGAAAAAAAGAGGTTTAGGCCGGGCACAGTGGCTCATGCCTGTAATCCCAGCACTTTGGGAGGCCGAGGCAGGCAGATCATGAAGTCAGAAGATCGAGACCATCCTGGCTAACATGGTGAAACCCCGTCTCTACTAAAAACACAAAAAATTAGCCGGGCGTGATGGTGGGCATCTGTAGTCCCAGCTACTCGGGAGGCTGAGGCAGGAGAATGGTATGAACCCAGGAGACAGAGCTTGCAGTAAGCCGAGATCACACCACTGGACTCCAGCCTTGTGACAGAGCGAGACTCCGTCTAAAAAAAAAAGAAAAAGAAAAAGAAAAAGAGGTTTAATTGGAATTACAGTTCCACTGGCTGGGGAGGCCTCAGAATCATGGCGGCGGCAAGGGAAAATGAGGAAAAAGCAAAAGTGGAAACCTCTGATAAACCCATCAGAGCTTATGAGACTTATTCACTATAACAAGAATAGCATGGGAAAGACCAGCCCCCATGATTCAATTACCTCCCCCTGTGTCCCTCCCACAATACGTGGGAACTCTGGGAGATACAATTCAAGTTGAGATTTGGTGGGGACACAGTCAAACCATATCATTCTGCCCCTGGCCCCTCCAAATCTCATGTCCTCACATTTCAAAACCAACCATGCCTTCCCAATAGTCCCCCAAAGTCTTAATTCATTTCAGCATTAACTCAAAAGTCCACAGTCCAAAGTCTCATCTGAGACAAGGCAAGTCCTTCCTGCCTATGAGCCTGTAAAATCAAAAGCAAGCTAGTTACTTCCTAGGTACAATGGGGGTACACGTATTGGGTAAATACAGCCATTCCAAATAGGAGAAATTGGCCAAAACAAAGGGGTTACAGGGCCCATGCAAGTCTGAAATCCAGCAGTGCAGTCACACTTTAAAGCTCCAAAATGATCTTTTGACTCCAGGTCTCACATCCAGATTACACTGATGCAAGAGGTAGGTTTCCATGGTCTTGGGCAGCTCTGCCCCTGTTGCTTTGCAGGGTATGGCCTTTCTCCCAGATGCTTTCATGGGCTGGCATTGAGTGTCTGCGGCTTTTCCAGGAGCACGATTCAAGCCATTGGTGGATCTACCATTCTGGGGTCTGGAGGATGGGGGCCCTCTTCTCACAGCTCCACTAGGCAATGCCCCAGTAGGGACTCTGTGAAGGGGCTCTAACCCCACATTTCCCTTCTGCACTGCTTTAGCAAAGGTTCTCCATGAGGGCCCCGACCCCGCAGCAAACTTCTGCATGGGCATCCAGGCGTTTCCATACGTCTTCTGAAATTCAGGTGGAGGTTCCCAAACTTCAATTCTTGACTTCTGTGCACCTGCAGGCTCAACACTATGTGGAAGCTGCCAAGGCTTGGGGCTTCCACCCACTGAAGCCCCAGCCTGAGCTCTATGTTGGCCCCTTTTAGCCATGGCTGGAGGGCATGGGATACAGGGCACCAAGTCCCTAGGCTGCACACAGCATGGGGACCCTGGGCCTGGCCCACAAAACCACTTTTTCCTCCTGGGCCTCCGGGCCTGTGATGGGAGGGGCTGCTGTGAAGGTCTCTGACATGCCCTGGAGATATTTTCCCCATGGCCTTGGGGATTAACATTAGTCTCCTTGGTACTTAAGCAAATTTCTGCAGCTGGCTTGAATTTCTCCCCAGAAAATGGGTTTTTCTTTTCTACTCCATCATCAGGCTGCAAATTTTCTGAACTTTTATGCTGTGTCCCTTTTAAAATGGAATGCTTTTAACAGCACCCAAGTCACTTTTTGAATGCTTTGCTGCTTAGAAATTTCTTCCGCCAGATACACTAAATTATCTCTCTCAAGTTCAAAGTTCCACAAATCTTTAGGGCAGGGGCAAAATGCCGCCAGCCTCTTTGCTAAAACATAACAAGAGTCACCTTTGCTCCAGTTCCCAACAAGTTCCTCATCTCCATCTGAGACTACCTCAGCCTGGGCCTGATTGTCCATATTGCTATCAGGCTTTTTGTCAAAGCCATTCAGCAAGTCTTCAGAAAGTTCCAAACTTTCCCACATTTTCCTGTTTTCTTCTGAGCCCTCCAAACTGTTCCAACCTCTGTTAACCAGTTCCAAAGTTGCTTCCACATTTTCAGGTATCTTTTCAGCAATGCCCCACTGTATTGGTACCAATTTAGTGTATTAGTCTGTTTTCACACTGCTGATAAAGCCATACCCGATACTGGGAAGAAAAAGAGGTTTAATTGGACTTACAGTTCCACATGGTCGGGGAGGCCTCAGAATCATGGTGGGAAGTGAAAGGCACTTCTTACATGGTGGCAGCAAGAGAAAATGAGGAAGAAGCAAAAGTGGAAACCCCCGATAAACCCATCAGATCTCCTGAGACTTATTCACTATAACGAGAACAGCACAGGAAATACTGGCCCCCACGATTCAATTACCTCCCCCTGCGTCCTTCCCACACCACATGGGATTTCTGGGATACAATTCAAGTTGAGATTTGGTGGGGATGCAGCCAAGCCATATCAGCTCCCATTTTGCAAGTGAGGAAATCAAGACTCAGGGGGTGAGGTTGCTTGCTTGGGATTGCACAGATCAGTCAGTGGTAGAGTTATGATCCAAATCCAGGCTTTAGTTGCCTGCTTCTAGTTCTTCCCACTTATCACGTGGCTCTAGGAACCAGCATTAAGAGCCTGAGGCTGTGGAGCATGGTAGGGACACAGGAGCCAGACTGCCGTCTGCAAAATTGGTCTCTGCGTAAAGGTAGGGAGGACACCAATTCTGTCCCACTTTTTAATTCTGTAAGTGCGGTGACGGTCGTAATTTCAGGGTTGTTGAAAGTATTTTAATAAGTTAGTACATGTAAGAGTACTCAGACCATGCCTGGCACACACATAGATACCAGCTCTGATTATTCTACGATGTGTTTTAGCTTCTGCTTCTCTTGCCTGTCTCCAGGAAGTTAGATTGATAATATTTCTGTGTGCATTTGTAAGCCTTGCCTAGGCTCACTTAAACACCAGTGTGACTGTTATTAAGAGGAGTGCAAGAATTCCTGTTAATCATCACATCGTGTTTCAGGCATATCATAACATATGACAGGGTGGGTGGGAGTCAGGGGACACCAACAATGCAGATACGGTGTGCCCTGCACCTGGCCACCAGGTGGCGCTCATAGTCTGTTTTAGTGTCTGTCCCTGAAAACCCTGTGGCTATGACTCGGTGGTAGAATTAACAGAAGAATCAAGGTTTCACAATTTATACGGCCCATTTCGTGCATCACTCACATTTTCTCTGGGGCATCTGAGACACTGGAGAAGGGGTGCTCACTAGAAGATGGAGGGACATGGGCTGCAAAGCCCCAACCCTCTCCAAGGCCATACATGTGCAGGTCTGCACGTTGGAAACTTGGAGTGAAAAAAATTATTTCACTTCTTCCTGTTTTCTGTGGGGCCATGCAATGCTCCCATAAAAAGGCACTTGGATTTTTTGTTTTAAAAGTTACAGCTCTTCTCAGCTTAATGCTTTTGTTTGCATACCAGAGGCACAACACAGAGAGAAACTTCCAGAAGGGATGGGAAAACACATCCCCCAGACTCCAGTGCTGTCTGACAGACAGGAAATGTTTCAATCTAAGTATCAGAGCTTTAGGATATCAGACTGTGGGAAAACTCCAAGTGGTCTTCAAACATCTTCATCAATTTCATGACCAAAATAAATATCTATATTGTCCATAATTGGCATAAATCCCCAGGTGTTTAGTGCCTGTTACACTGTGTAATAAAATGGGCCCTGGGTCATAAGAAAGTTAATAGTGCTAGGAAGACTGATTGCTTCAAGATACTAATTCAGCTTCTAATTAGCACAGGCAGCGCAGACTGCATGGCGGTACGCATCGTCTTGGGGTATCGTATCGGATCGAAGGGCTTTGAGAGCAAATCGTTATGAACACACTTTCAGGAGACCCGGGAGAATAAAGTAATCAGAACAATAAATCAACCTGCCATGTGGCTTATACGTCTGCTTGAATGTTCTGTTGGCAGTAGAATATTTAAGAGACTAAAATGTGAGCAGATGAAACTTGATTTGGATTCAGACCAACTGCACCCTTTAGCTTAGAGATGCTTTGTTATAAAATTATCATCTTTCAATTATGAGCCAAGATCAAAGTGGGGGGAGGAGTATTAATTAGTCAGAGTAATTCTTTCTTTCTTTCTTTTTTTTTTTTTTTGAGACAGAGTCTTGCTCTGTTGCCCAGGCTAAAGTGTGGTGGCACAATCTTAGCTCACTACACCTCCACCACCCAGGATCAAGCGATTCTCCTGCCTCAGCCTCCCAAGTGCTGGGATTACAGGCGTGAGCCACCGCGCCCGGCCATTACCAACCAATTTTAAAGTAAAAAAAAAAAAGGAATTTGAATCAAGTTTCAAGAGAAACGTACATGACTGGTAAATTCAGAAATTCCAGGTGAAGAATTTTTGTTTGATGAAATTCCCTGTAAGGGAACCAGTAACTAACTGCCTTCAGGGTTTGGTAAAGGCCTCTGTGTTTGGAACACTGGGTGGTTCCTTCTCCCCACTTAGCTAACTGCCCATAACGCTCTCTGGCTGGGGCTGGATTTGGGTGAGATGCAGTCACTGAAGTGACAGCATCGTGGGGAAATAGGAAATTGGGGTGAGAACATGGGGTCTGCGAGAAGGTGGACCTGAGTTCAAATTGAACCGCCACCTCTCACGTGCTGTGCAAGCTGTAAGCAGTTCCTGGGTGTCTCTGGGCCTGTCTTAGACTTTTTTCTTTCTTTCTTTTTGAGACAGTGTCTCACTCTGTCACCCAGGTTGGAGTGCAGTGGCACAATCTCGGTTCACTAACCTCTGCTTCCCAGGTTCAGCCTCGGCCTCTCGAGTAGTTGGGATTACAGGCATGCACTACCACGCCTGGCGAA